ATCAAACAACACAAAGTTAACAATCTATACAGTTTTCATAGATGTTTCCATACAAATTACATAGATATTTTCATACACTTTACATGTTTGTAAACTTGTTTCTATACAATTTACATTAATGTTTCCATACAGTTTGAAATGTTTCTAAACTGTTTATATAAATGAATGTCGTCTGCACTGGTCGCTTGTGAAACATCACTAGCCACCAACAGGCTAAGGGTTTTTAAAATCTAACCTATTACCAACAGTTGATCAAAGATCAAAAATCTGCAGTACACCATCTGCATTATATGTAAATTGATCAAAAAAAGAGAAAATATTTTTACATTCTTTGAAACATGAAATCAGACTGCCACTTATATCGTTTATATTCTGGGAAAACCAATAATCGCTGGGATTGTTTGTTACAGATATAGAGAGCTCTTCACTGTGAAGTGGTATATTGCACAATACTGGTTAGATATTACCGCAATTAATATCTCACAGATCGGCCCTGAATTACAATGAATAATACACTAGAGCATTATCCACTGACAGGGAGATAGCTCCACACAAGTGGCTCACAGCTTACCGGTTTATTTCAACAATACTTCCTTTTTTATTGTTTCTCCTTTTTGATTTTTATTTAATAAAGGAATGCCAATGGTTTAAAACAAACTTTTTCAACAGAATTTTTTTTTTCACTGCAAATTACTAGTATTACGAGGTTTTTTTTGTATGGCATGTTTTTTTTCTCTCCAATTATTCAGCTCCTTCAATAAAATGCAACAACTTCTCCACTTAATTCGAGACGTGGATAGTATCAGTACAGATATGGGAGTTGCTCCGAACTAGTTGAACTTAAATTGTATTCTTAATAATGAATTGCGAACAGTCAGGTGGCCTAGTGGTTAAGGGCCCTATCTCTTTACCCTGGGATCATGGGTTCAAACCCAGCTCTGAGATTACGATCATGTCACTGTTGGGTCAATAGGTTGCCATCATTTTCAAAACAAAAATAAAAGTATTTATATATCGTTACCTTGGTGCAATAACTGATTAAGTGCTATTGAATTTAGTAGGACATATTCAGTTATTGCACTAAGGTGACGATATGCAAACCATTATGGTCTGTAACATTTAAAGCAAGGGCTTAGATACCAGTGTAATGTCTTAGATCTAATAACCCTATAGCCATTATGCAACCCTGTCTAAAGTAATCTGCAATTTATAATTTTTTTCAAATGAACTTATCAACTTACATCATCAGCAAAAATTTCATTCTTAAGCAAATTCCGAAAGAATTTTTTTTAAATAACCAGTCCTATTTTCATTAATAAGACAAGATGGAATGGTAACTGTTACAAATCGTTAATTTCTCATTTTACAGTACTAAAATTATTTCTCAGAAACTGTTAGGTATTATAGCAGCAGATATGCACAACATTACCACTGATGACAATAACAGACTGGGACTCATTTGTATTCGGTTTTTCTCTCACTCTCTCTCTTAGACCATGACTCAGCAAAATATTAACATGCACAGTCAGGGATAGGGAAGAAAAAATAACAAGAGCTGTCCGTAAGACAGCGCGCTCGACTTTTTTAGTGCTTGCCTATAATACAAAACATTGACAGTTAAGGGCCATAATTCAAATAAAATCTTTGACAGAATTACCTTCTCCTGGACATGTTTGGGAATCATGATTGTAAACAAGTATTCCAACTTTCAAATTAATATCTCAAACAGTTCAGTCAAAAAGTGGACTGGTACTAAAAACTTAACCAAGATTCTAAGTCGATAAAAGGCCTTAATTTTTAAAACAAATCCTTGACAGAGTTACCTTCTCTTGCGTACAGATGGGGTAATGATGTGAAATAGCATTAAAAGTTTCAAAGCAATATCTCAAAGGGTTAAGGCAATAAGTGGATTTTACCCATATTCAATGTATTTTTCTAAGTTCAAAAAGGGGCATAATTCTGTCAAAAACCTTGACAGAGTTATGTCCTCTTGTCTGTTGATGAAGGTCGTGATGGTAAACAAGTATGGTCAGTTTCAAAGCAATACCTCCAATGGTTTTGAAATAAAGTGAGGTGGTACAAAAAACTTAACCAAGATTCTAAGTCGATAAAAGGCCTTAATTTTTAAAACAAATCCTTGACAGAGTTACCTTCTCTTGCGTACAGATGGGGGTAATGATGTGAAATAGCATTAAAAAGTTTCAAAGCAATATCTCAAAGGGTTTAAGGCAATAAGTGGATTTTACCCATATTCAATGTATTTTCTAAGTCAAAAAGGGGCATAATTCTGTCAAAAACCTTGACAGAGTTATGTCCTCTTGTCTGTTGATGAAGGCCGTGATGGTAAACAAGTATGGTCAGTTTCAAAGCAATACCTCCAATGGTTTTGAAATAAAGTGAGGTGGTACAAAAAACTTAACCAAGCTCAATACACTTTCTAAGTCAAAAAAGGGCCATAATTCTGTCAAAAACCTTGACAGAGTTATGTACTCTTGTCTGTAGATGGAGGTTATGATGGTGAACAAGTATGGTAAGTTTCAAAGCCATACTTGTAATACTTCTGAAATAAAGTGGGGTGGTACGAAAAACTTAACCAAGGTGTGACGCCAACGCTAACGCTAACGCCGACGCCGACGCCGGGGCGAGTAGGATAGCTCCCCTTTTCATAGAAAAGTCGAGCTAAAAACCAGTCTGAATTTAACCAGCTGTGTGCCAGTCTGTAGAAATTATTACAATAAAATGCCATTATATTATGTCATGATTCTAGCAATCACTTCAACATGAAATGAAGTAATTACTTACTAAACTCTATAAACTGCCGCTAATCAGAACCTTATTGTTTGTTAGAAACATTTACTTCCATCTCACAGACAACAGTAGGAATGTCTGTACCTTGATATCAGAAAATAATAAGTGTCAAAAATCTTCAAATTTACAGTTTGAAAATTGAAATATTTCCCCTGAGTAACAATAAAATTAATATTGTTTATGTAAAATGGATTGTAATTCTTTTTCTTTTTTTTTGGGGGGGGGGGGGGGGGGGTGGGGTTGGGGGGGGGGGGTTTTCTCCGCTACAATGACATTTTTTAAGGTCAGAATATTAATTATCTTATAATGCATGGTCATGGAGCTTTTAATTGTGGGAGTGACCAGAAGACATCCAAAGACACCTCTGTAAATTAATTATGGTGCAAGCAAACACTTATAATAAGAAGAATCAGTCTCACACTTATCAAAAGATAAGTAAACAGCCGAATTGTCACATTAACAAATTTAATGATCAAGAGTGGGTTTGCACCCCTATTAGTGCCCAGACTGTAACAAGTACTGTTATCCCTTGAATTTATTCTGTTGCAAAGTAATCAAGCACTTGAGAAGAGAATCTAATCTTCAAAAAGGTTAAGTGGTTAACAAATTTGTCACTTCAACAAATTTAGTGATCTGTAGTGGGTTTGAACCCCATTTAGTGAAAGAACTGTGCTTCTAACTCAGTGGCATAATATATACCTCTGAGCCATTGATTGAATTGCCCCCAACTACCTTCACAGATTGAAAGATAGACTAGTTCATTATATGTATTTATCTTCCATTAGTGCTCGCCAATTTTTTAAAGCCAATCACCGACAAGGATATTTCAAATTTTCAGGTTTCAAATCTTAATAGAACAGATTTTATATAAACTGGACGTTTATATTATAAAACGCAAGTGGGCGGAGCACTAAGCCGGTTAGAGTGCATATTGGATGTTCTTCTTAAATAAGAAAGCTACAGTCGCTTCGCAAGCTCCGCTCCTTTTTAGCTGTCTTATTTACGAAGAACAACAAATATGCACTCTAACCTATACTTAATGTCAAACCCCTTGCAGGGACAAAGACATAAGGCATAAAGGTTCAATGTTTCCTTCAAACCACAAAATTTCCCCAAAAACGGTAATTTTTCACCTCATATAACAGAGGCCTTTATAAGGCCTCTTCCCAATGGAAATTTTCTATAAAATCATACACTTTTCCAAAAAAGATAACCTTACAGTGGTCAGCTTTTTTTACTTCCTGGATATGCAATTTCAGCGATAATTTTCCCCAAATCAAGTGGCTAAGGCCTCTTTCCAATTTAGTGAAAGTACCATAAAAAGCTATAATATAAAACAGCTAACATATGAAACTACTAATCATTGATAAACCAGAAGGAAAAAGAAGCTAGAAATAATGTCAAGCATTGTGTTAAAGAGAGTTTTATTACATCACATTCTCGAGAAACTGTACTCCAACATTACTTGTTTCCTCTTTGTCAAAGAAATGCTTATTAGATGGCATATTACAAAATGAACAAATATGACCTTGACCTATGACCTATAATCATCCGTGGAACCATCAAACCTGCGATCTACATATCATCTTATTATGGTTAACATCCAAGCAGTTTCAATTTCGGTTAACATTTCTGCCACATAGAAACAATTTTCTTCAATCAATTTAAAAACTACAAAACAGACACAAAATTGCTTAAGGTCTGTTAAGGATAGACTTTCTTGACCAAATTAGACTTGAGGGGCCATCACTCTTGTTATTTTTTCCTTTTGTTGCACAGTGGGGTGGTCTCTTATTCTAATGTAACTGAATGAATGAATTTATCATTTATTTACCATAAAAATGCCACTAAAGCTAATCTAGTTGCTCAAATGGACAGATGACCAGAGGTATTATTATTATATTGAACATCTAAAATTATTCCTTATACAGAAATATTTGTTACCAGAAACTCAAAAAATGCAGATTTTCTTAGCTGGACCCTCCCTCCACCTGAACCACAAAACTTTTACCATTTCACGCCACACCACCATTCCCATTACATCATTTTAGAAGTGGAACTGTAAAAGTTTGTTTGTACACTTGGATAAGCAAGAAAAAAAATACTCGAAATATCCATTATTCAAGAGTAACTCTATTCATCTACCTATATATCTACCATTTACATTTAATGATCATTGTAAAAGAATTTACCTTTAACAATTGTAAGTTGATTGTCTCCCCCTGACTGAAACTCGTACAGAGCTACAAACAAGTTGGGATCATCTTCTGCCTGGTTAGCTAGGAGGTTCTCTTTGGACATCCATTTTGACCCGAGGGTATCCAAGCCTGACCCCGGGGCATCAGGTAGAGGCCTTGCCTGGAATATGGTTTCTGAAAAAAAAAGAAAAAAGAACCTTATTTAAGCAATGACACTTGAGATTTACCGGCAAAGTTTTTATATAATTAAGATAAGTTTAAGTTCATCCATTAAGAATTCTAAGTTAAAAAGGGGCACAACTCCAAAAATATTGCTTTCAGAACTATGCCCCTCGTCTCACAATTGCATCTTGTCATAGGGAGCCAAGTTTTGTGTTGATAGCTTTTGAAAAGATTATATAATATGTATATCTAACTAATGGGCTAAATTAAAGTTATTTGTCACAACAATGATGAAGCAGCTATCATAATAGCTCAACTTTTTCTTTGAAATGGACAAGCTAAAAACCTATCAAATATTACTCTCAATGCACACATAATTTTTATAAAATGGTTTATACAGCATACTAATGCAGAAGTTATTCTTGGGTTATATCAAAACACTTCAAGAGTACATTGAAATGTCAGTAAGTCATAACTGACTTCGTGACTTACTGATATGGAGTAAAATTATAATAAGAAATCTTTAACCTTCTGTTTTTCTTAAATGGACTAGTTCAGTTTCTATATTTGGAACTGTCCATTATCATTCTTTGGGATATCAAGCTAACTAATTTTAATTGATTAATTGGCTAAAGAGACTGTATATGCCAATGATTTATTTTGCATAGTTATCATAGTCTATAAAAACATAATACAGGCAAGTTTAGAGTATCTTAATCAAATACAAAAGCTAAGTATAATGGATCTATGACAGCATCTGTAATAATTTTATATAACACTCGGGTCATAAGTTAAAAGCACCATTTTGATCCTTATTATTCATTATTATTTCAACTTTCAAGTCCAATATATTGATTGATTGATCTGCTTTATTTTATTGATAGTCAATTGGTCTGTGCTTTTATACATCAATCAATCTGGGTTTATTATTTCAAAATCATTCACCATTCATACATTTTGATATACATCATTAATCATATACATGTACATGAAACAGAAACTATATAATTTATTTCATGTACATATTACATGTATATCAAATATAGCCATGTAAATTTTTTTAGACATCTCATATTCTGCACAGTATCTTTTCAGACAGGACATACTTTTAAAATTTTCCTTAAAATTCAGGATTAAATTTGTCCATTTAAGATATAACAAATTATTTAGTATGGTTTGAAAGTGTTAAAAATCCTGTAAACTACTAGGGGGCAGGACTGTGCCTGCTTCAGTATTGTATCTACTGCTGACTGCATTATGTTACATAATAATCCTAAATTTAAATTTGACAATTGTCAACTGAAAACAGGGTAATATATAAAATTAAGCAGGTTAAAAATTGCTGAGGCAGATTATCTTAAATGTCATTTTATTTATATAGCCATGACATGTCCAAAAGCGACACACTATCAATTTTTCTACAACACTGATTTTTATTGGTTCATACAAATGTATATGAATAAATTCTCTACATTATACTGTTTGACTTACAGTTATTTCTCCGTTAAAAATTCAAACTTAAGCAAATTTCATGGGAAGTTTGATAGATGTATGTATTAACATATACAAAAATTAACAATTTACATTTACCAGTATGACAAAAACAAAAGAAATTTCTAGGGTCTTTTACCGCAACCCTGCTTTATATATCTTATAATTAAAAATTATGAACTTGGCCATCTTTTAATCCATCCTTTTTCAGGATAAGTTAAAAATATGTAAAGACAGACTGAATAGTGCAGACCATGATCAAACGGCATGGATGTGCCGGCTGCACTGGTTGCATGGCCTAATCTAGTTGTTGCCAGCAGACTTGCAGGGTTAAAATCCTTTGCAAGAGATTTCTAGCATTGAGGACATACCTTAAACTTTTTTTCTCTAATTTTTTACAATACCATAATTATTATATGACTAAAAAGTGTTTTCTTTCAAACAATATATTAACCTTAACAGGGCTTTTTTTCACAGGTTGGGGAAGCAGCCCAGCCCTTAATTTTGGGGAAAAATTATATGGTATATTTGCAAAAGGGGAAGAAAAAACTTGATGTAAATTTAATTTTGGGGGAAAACTGCATGATTTTAAAGAAATTTTCTTTGGGGAAGCAGCCCTATACCGGCCCCTGTTATAGAAGGTAAAAAGGCCCTGCTTAACCTAATGTGTTCTAACTACACACCTATTTGTAATTCATTTGTTAAACATCGACCTTTTTTTAGTCATAAAACAAGTATTTAAACATCGGATATAAAGATGGTCGTTACGATAGAAAGGGTAGTCATTAGTTTAACAAACTTTTAACGTGGGTAAAGCCTAAAGGTCTTTAATGTCTCAGTGTGCCATGTAATTATCATCCATGGATACAAAAATGTATTACACACTCTATGAAATACATGACAACTATATTAAATACAATGACTTTGTTAAATCCTTACAGTTACACATCCCTGTATTTTGTAAAATGGACTTGTCCTACTTTGAATTTGGAATAGTCCATTGCTAGTTTTTAGGGACTTTCACAACAAAATATAAATGACCGTTAAACCTTTACAGTTATCCATCCCTGTATTTTTAAAAATGGACTTGCCTCACTTTGAATTTGGAACAGTCTATTTCTAGTTCAAGGGATTTCAACAACAAAATTATAACTTCAGCAGCAGCTTTAAATAGTAAAAGAGCCTGGTCAGACTGCATCATGCCATGGATGAAAAAGCTGGCTTGATTAAATACTGAGGTGGCCTAAGCCTGTAATTAGTATCGCAAGCATTGTAATTTTTAGCTCAGGGTTAAACGGTCAAAAAAAATTTATTTAATTTTTGCTTGGGTTTTAAGCCACACACAGACAAACACTGTTAAGGTTGAATGACGGTTTTTCTATCTTTATTTATGAAGAGTTAGTCAAGTATCTATAGATGCAAGCAGGCACCTCACAGTTAGTCAGATCCATCAGGCAATCTTGTGATGGGTAAGGTGAAACTATCTAAGTTTAACAAATTTTACACACAACTTTATTAGATCTATTTATTATAACATTATGTGGGTTCAGAATGCAAAACATTTCTAAAATTAAACTTATTTAAGTCAAAATTTACCATGCACATGAAATAAAAAGGTCCTACAACCTTAATTTTACTGGGCAATGTAAATATTGTATGTTTTCTGTTTTTTATTTGGTTTTATGGCGCACTAACACAATTTACGTCATATCAGGTGCCGAAACAGGAAAGATAATTTTGGCTAACAAACTTATGGTCAAAACGTGGATTGACCTCACCTGCTGGAGCTAAGAGATGTATGGACTCCAGTAATTCAAACCCATTATAATCACAACATCCACCCAAAAACCCACTTATTTTTAATCAAAATTTCAAACACATTCTCCACTTAAAGTTTTTTCCATACCAGTTTTAAAGCAAAACCCCTCCTTTCTTAGAAAAGCAAGTATCGATTAAAAAAAAACCCAGAAATACTGGGTTTAACAAATGTAAATATATTCATTTTTCAAGAAGAGACTTTGCATCTTTTATGCAAAATGTGACCGAATTTTCTGTCTTTTTCACATATTTCTACAGTGTTGTACATTGAGGTTATTTCTGCTTCTTCAGCATACTTGAACTCACTCAGAGCCAGCTTCTGGCAAAAGATTGTAGAATTGAGACAAGTGCAGACCAAGATCAGCCAGCACATCTATGCTGTTTCATGATGGTCTGAAATATTCACATTTCAGTCAAAAAGGATTTTTGTATATTCTCTAAAATGATGGTTGTCTCCAAATTTCAACAGATTGAGAAGTTCATTTGATACATTTAGCCCGACTTCAGTAGTGTTGGTGCCTTGTCAAAATCTTGATTCTCTGAGTTAAAAATTTTTTTTTAGGTTTTCATAAACAGCATGAATATGGAAGTACATCTTTTTAATGGTACGACTAGAAAAAAGGAAGAAATACTCAGCAAAGGTTAAGCATAATACCTGCAAATAATACCATATCTTGTCTTAATTATCCATCGATATCGGCCAATTTTACACCAGCATTCAATAATATTGAAGTCTTAAAACATGTCAGTGTAACAATAATTCATGTCACAATGCCATCATAACCAATTGGCAATTTCAAACATCAAAGAGTAATAAAAATTGTCACAATTTCAATGGTAAATCCAACAAAAAGTCAGCGGTAGACCAGAAGTTAATCACTAAAATCACTCCCAATACATTAACTCTATTATCAAAGTGCTGTGAACCACCCTCGCACTATTGAAATTTCCATTAAACAAATGCATCTTTCCTATTATTTATTCCAACCCCTCTAATTAAACAACTTATTACGTAATGATAAAATAACTTGTGCGGTTAAACTTCTTTTCCGCAGATAAAACATTTCAATAATCTTTAAACAAACATCACTGATCTCCGTGTACATGTACACAAACAGGGCTGACTAACAAAAACCGACGACTATCAACAATTCACCGAAAAAGTAGTTCAATACATTATCGGGCAGATTAGGATCTTCAAAATCAACACACTATGGGTGTCATCCAACACTCAAAAAACTTTCGTAAAAAAAGCCATTCGAAATTTGACGATGTCTCAGTCTGAGTTGACTATCTGCGCAACAAAACAAACGATGACCAAAGACACGCTCACCCGTGAAAAAAAAATCTCCGCGTTAAACATCGTACCTTAATCATTTATGACAGAGGGATGACTGTTCTATCGACAAATGTAAACATTTTTCTTTCAAACCAATACAGAACTTGTAAATTGTGAAGATTAATGTTTTCTTTTCTAATGAACATACAGTTTGACAATGAATGGAAAGACACATTATTTCAGACCGATGTATGTGGAAGAATAAATTCATTGTAAACTTACCGACTTTGTGTCAACCCTAAATAAAGAGAGGAAAAAAATGATTTTATTCAATTTTTGACGATGCAAAAAAGTAATTTTATTTGCATTATTAAGTACTGACTGAAAACATAAACCACAGAAGAAATGACTGTTAGTAGTACAC